CCCCCGCCAGTATTGAAAGTATCTTCTTTCCTCATTGGATCTTCAGGTCAGGTGCCAACAAGTTTACAGGTAAACCAATCCAGTAGAGCTGCCAAGGAGGGGTTTTATGCTACTACAATCATAAAGTTTGCTACCCTTCCATCTATATTTATAACAATGGCTGCCATTTCCCTACAATCCATCTGCTCGTGGAAGCGAGGCTGCCCTTGATAAAGTTGGCTGCCACCTCCCACTGTTTTCAATTAGATGGAAGCCATGCCCACAGCAAAATGGCTGCCACTTTGGTTCGGGGGCTAGACAGGACATAAGGACTGTGAGGAGCTCCAAGGACATGGCCAAAAGTAGATGGAGTAAGTGAGGGGGATCAGGGAAATGGGGGAGAGAAGGAGGCAGATTTAAGGGGTGCAGGAAAATGGGTTGCAGGGCAATGTGGGAGACAGGAGGGAGTGGATGGCAGGAGGCATCTGGAGGAAGAGGAGGAGTATTTCGGGGGCTCTGTCTAGTCTCTGGCAGAAATGTGGTGGTTGGCGGATCAGGGAAGTGCTGCTTCTTAGAAAAGGCTAAACCAATCCCATAGTATGTTTACTGTGACTTTGTTGCTTATAACCTTATTTGAATAAATTACAAGTTCTTTAATATGCATATCTGTAACTCATCAACCCTAAAAAGTAGTATAAGTTCTATGTGAGGGTATGAATCATGATTCATTCATTAGGTCAGTGGTTCTCAAGCTATTTACAATCCAGCCCTTCTTTTATCAAAGGAAATAAACGTGGAGAGGAGAAAGTCAAGACAGTGATAGGAAAGGGATAGAAGTTCCTCTACATTATGGGTGAGGAGAGATTAAATGCAGGCTCCATCTGAGCAACCAGGGAGAGGCAGGCATTTTTGTGTACACTGACTACTGATTTTTCAACCTGTTGTTATTTCACTCATGTTGGTGTAGTAGGAAGGGAGCTTGAGACATAAGCCCCTTGTATCAGAAGCCTGAGTCTGAGCTAAAATAGTGGTGAAAGCTTTGTTAATACAAAGCAAAGTCAGGCTGTGAACTAGAGGCAGGCCCACAGAATCTGGCAAGAACAGGGCTGATATTGCAGAAATACACATTCCTAAGAAGTGCTAGGCACCAAACACACCACATTCCAGAAGGGTGGTACCAGAACACCTCGATACCAACATAGTCCCCAAAGATAACAGGAACACGTTGACCCATCTTAAAGCTAGGATCAGGATGACAGCATGATGAATAGAGATTAGAGATGTTTGGATCGAACCAACATGTACAAGGTGATGGGTGGCACCTAGACATGTCAGCGGGGCAATACATAACTTGTTTGTATCAGTGTATAAAATGAAGTCTCAGAGGAAGTGTCTTTGGCTCGTCAAGAAGAGAATGGAAAGTCCTGCATCCATTATCACAGGCACACATGTGCTAGTGTAACTGTTGTCATTTATCTGGGGAGGTAGGACAATGGTTCATTGGCAATAAACCTGGCCGGGTACCTTCGATACTGAAATGGGTCTTGTGGTTTAATTGGGCGGTTCCATCGAGGTCTGCTGTGCCAACTCTCTGCATAGAGCTAAGACAGCACACAGAGGGAACACACATGCAGCCAAACATCTGACTACATTTGACAAAGGAGTAGAAGGAGTTAAAAAGTCAAAAGGCACTAAAAAAAACAAACCACAATTAGATTTTTTGTAATCTCATGATTTACAGGGGTCTAACTCATGATTTTGCTCTCTTGATGTTGGCAATACTGGGTTGTAGTTTTTATTGTCTTAAAATAATAGTGTTTGTAACATCAAAATATGCTGCATCTGGAATTTGCTAAAAACCACTGGACACTGTCCTCAACTACACCAAGTTCACATTCAGCGCTGATGAGGAGACTGAAGAAACTGGTTATAAGGCACCTCTGCACTCCCCTGATCCTGGGCCAGGTGGGCGACAAAATAGCTTCTGGTCTAACACAGAGGAACCTCAGAGCTTCCCTAAGTTACCCCAGATGCTGGGCTGGCCTAGGATAGGTGAAGCACCATGCACTCTGTCCTGGACATACACCTCCATGCTTCTCCACACCCCCTACATAGAGGCAGGGGGATGCAGGCAATGGGTGGTACAGACTTCACTATACCTCCTTCTACCATGTGAGTATTACCCTGCGTCAGGGGGATCCTTGGCTACCCCTTTAGGGCAGTTGCCTAGCTGCTTTCCCTGCTCAACAGGAGTTTAGGCCTGAGCCCACTACATTATTCAATTGTTTAACCAGTAAAATACAGGCAGTGAACACATCAGTGGGTCTCTGTTCTTTGCCTGGGGAGCAGAGTGGGGCTGGTCCATGGCTGGGTTCCATGTACTGTAGGACATTGTGATCCGTGTACCCTGAGTTTAATTCACAACATCACAGTGTTTCCAGGCACTGACTAAAGGGAGCCAGCCAGCTGTTACTTACCCTAGTGTGTGTAGTTTGCAGTTTGGATGTTTCAGCCCCTCACACAGCCACTGTACTCCTGAATCCTCCAGACTGTTTGCCCCTAGACCTAGGAATGTCAGGGTCCGGCTGGTGCTGAGAACAGAGGAGAGATCCTCACAACATGCAGTTGTGAGACCACAATAGTGCAACCTGCAAAAGACAGATATACACAGAGTAAAATGACATGTGTATGCCCCATTCTCTGCATTTCCCCTCACTGCTACCCATAGGTATCTCCAAAGGGATTCATAATTCAAGACAGTGGCTAGGAATAATGTTATCTATTTATTTTGATTGAAATAATCATAAAAGACCCCTACTGAAAGCTGTAGACCCTTATGATATAATTAATTATATAACCCCCCCTATGTTAAGCGAATATTACGGCTGTAAGATCAAGCACCCAAAAGTTAGGAACCCTCAAACTTTAGGCAGCCTGGGCAACCTTAACTTAGCTCCTTTCTTTGTGTGCATTTTGATACAGTCTGAGCAGGGAATTCTGGGCGCTGCTGGTTCTGGGGGTGGGGTGGGGAGAAGTGGTGTGGAGCTCTCCCTTTTCCCTAACTGCTCCTGCTGTCCAACCGCCTTCCGGCCTGCCTCCACCTGAAGATGCTGCAGAATCATTGCCTTTCTTCTTTGCAAGTGCATTGGGGTGCATGTGCTCCCCATCAGCCTTTCCTGTCCTTTCTCCCCTCATTTTGCGTTAGTGGATTGATGGGCCTTCTTCTCTTCCCTCTGCCTGCCCAGCAGTCCCTTCCACCCCCACCCCACATAATGCCCCCCTTGCTCTCCCATCACACGTGGTCCCCCTTGTGATCCACTTTCCCCCATGGTGTGTTGCCTGTTTCCCCTGTTCTTCCTACTCACCTGCAAACACTCCCACGCACTAATATGCTCTCCTTCACTCCCAGTGCAGCTGTAGAAGCAGATTCCACATATACACACCCAAACCGTTTATCTGATTAATTCCCCATTTGACTTTTGCTCCCTCCTCACCGCACTGCAGTCTAGTGGGGAAAAGACGTTAGCTTTTCCCTCATCCTCTTTCTTATATATCCCCCTCCAGTGGCTGTTCCTGTCGCCTGTCCTCAATGGCAGACCCTGACCCAGTCTTGGGTCAGGCTTCTGCTTTAGCAACTTGGTCCATGGCGGGAAGCTGGGAAGACTGAAGGAGGGGGACCCCCGGACATGGCTAACATCCCCTCAGCTTTCTCCTCCATCTGCTTCCATGGCTACCACTGACACCTCTGCTGGTACCATCATCATCCCCTCTGGGACAGCAGCAGAATGCAGAGGCAGGGACTCTGCTGCCAAACCCACCACCACCAAGGGAGCCCCTCAGTCAGGAAGAAAGTCTAGGGCAGAAAAAAGGGCTCCCCCTCCCCCTGCCATCCCTTTTGGATCCCTTCTGTGGGCTTGGTGATTCTGCAGGCTTCTCAGCTCCCACTGTGCTGTGGCACAAGCTGTAATTGTTCCTGGAAGACTCACAGGGCTCCAGGAAGAAGGTGAAGCTTGCTCTCCATCAGTGGCGAGATTTTGATCTTGTCCTCCAGAGTGTGACGGCCTTACTGGGGGAGGATAAAGGGAGCAAAGGGCAGTGCTCTGCAGCCTACCAGTGGGCCTGCAACTTCCAGGACTTCCTAGTCACCTTTGGGATCGAGCACAGGTTGCTGCTTGGTTCTATGGGTACAGGCAGCACCACCAGCTGTGAGGATCCTCAACGAGACCTACACCATTGCATCTCTCAACATCATGGGCGACAGGGTGAGTCTCCACAGGTGCCAGGTACTGTCCTATCTTCGCACAGGGTGTGTGATCCTTCTACAGGAGTCTCAATCCAAATCGGCCACCAAAGCCAGCTGGTAGCTGGAATGGGGGGACAGGGTGTACTGCAGCCATGTCACTGAGGTTTTGGGTGGGGTGGTGACCCTGCTCTCCCTGGACTCCGGCCTGACAAACTGAGGTTCACCCAAGTCTTGTCGGCTCGCCTGCTGGATCACTAGATCCAGGTGGAGTGGCTGATGCTCAATCTGATTAATATCTATATTTTGATACTGGGTGCAGAGTGAGGGTGGTTCTATCGCCAGGCATCCACCTTCCTCAGCACCTTGGATCCTCGCAAGTGCCTGGTCCTGGGTGGGGATTTTAACACTGCCCTGGACTTGTGAGGCTACCCCTGGAAACAGATTTGCGAGGCCTTCACCGACATCCTCAGGCAGATCATCCCCTATCACTCCCTGGTAGAAGACTGGCACAATCATGACCTGGATGATTCCACCACCATTACCTATGTCTGGGTGGAGGAGTCTTAGTCATGGCACTCCTGCTTGGACCAAATCTATGTCTCCTGTTTTACCATCTACCATGGACAGTCCCCTTTTCAGACTACCACATGGTGGCTGTGATGGTCGTTTTAACACCTGAGTGGCCAGGCCCTCCTACTGGCATTTTAACAAGAGCCTGTTGGAGGAGTGGGCTTTGTAGTATCCTTCTGAGAGTTCTGGCTGGCGGGGCAGGGACATGCCTTTCCCTCAGCGCTGCGGTGTTGGGACATGAAGAAGGTGTACGCTGGGCTCTTTCACCACGTCTACACCCAGGTGGCCAGTTGAAGGCAAGATATGATAATACAGCAGTCAGAGTGGGAGGTTTTGGAGCTGGTGCATGTCTGTTTGTCCCAGGGATCCATCCCTCAGCAGGGAGTGTCAGGAAAAGCAGGACAAGCTCCAGGCCATCGACAACCATCAGGCCCAAAGCACTTTTGTTTGGTCATGTTTCTAGCTCCTTTGGCAGATGGATTGCAGCCCCCACTTCATCTATGCCTGGAGAAGAGAGGTGCCATAAAGCATGTCACCTGCCTCCTGGAGGAGGACAGCACCCCTCTAATGGATCTGGTGGAGATGCAGGAAAAGACAAGGGCTTTCTACACCAACTTCTTCTCCCTGGATCCAACTGAGGCTCACACGTGTAGGGTCCTGTTGGATGAACTCCCTCTGGTCAGCATGGGCAACTGGGATCAGCTGGAGCGTCTTCTTACTCTGGCCAAGTGCTGGAAAACCCTGCCTCTGATGCTGACCAACCAATCTCCAGCCATCGACAGGCTGACCTTGGAGTTCTACTGAATGTTCTGAGACGTCCTTGGCCTGGACCTTGCCATCGTCTGGGCCAAGTCCCTGGGGAGCAAGGTGCTCCCCCTGTCATGCAGGAGGCCCTGCTCGCTCTGCTGCAGAAGAATGGGGACCGCCTCAGAGCTTGTCATCAGGGCCCTCCCCCAGGAGCCTCCCCAGTTGCCCCCACATGTTTTCTGAGCAGGCTGAACATGATCTAGCAATTCCATCTCTGAACTGCACCCCGTGAACATCTCTACGCACTCATGCTCCACACCCTGCTCTCAGTTCCCTCCCTGACACCAAGTGGTGGGACCAGCTGCCACCTATGGAGGGCAGGGAGCCGTACTTCACCCCAGTGCCACAGCCCATCACATATCTCAGCTAGTGGCTCCTCCATAGAGCTGTGACCATGGTGGGTGGTTAGCATGGTTCACAGAGGGCACACCTGACTCTTTTGCCACAAGAGAGAGACCCTGGCACACATCCACACTGAGTGCCTCAGGCTGCAGCCCCTCTTCTGCCTCCTCCTGCACTTTGACTCCTCCCGCCCTGTATTTTCACATCCCATCCATGGTGCCACAAAGGGAGATCTCCTTGTTATCCTCCTCCTGGCCCTCCTCAGACCAGGGACAAGGGAGTGCACTGAGACTGTGAGGTCTGTTTCCGGTCCCATGTTGCCTCACATCTCTGGGCAGTTCCTCTGAACAGCGTCCACTGGCTCCTTGGACTCCTTTGAGGAGTGGTGAGCACTGCCTGGGGTTCTCTGCTGTGTTCCCTTCTGGATCCCTCATTTTGTACATATGACCTTTACTCCTGTCCTTGTTTTTCATTCGGTGTCCCCTGTATTCACGTCCTTCTGGGCTCTGTGGTCTCGCCCTCTTGATTATGGGGGTGGAATTCTAGTTTTGGGCAGGCCTAGGCCCACCCATCCCAGTAATATGTACACATCTTCCAACCTCTTCAACAAATGAGCCAGGGTCCTACAGACAACAGCCTCTTTCACTACACAAGCGCAAATAGTAGTACAGGCCATTCCCTCCCCTATCCCCACAAACACATCACTTTGAACCAAGGTCATTGATTAGTAAATTCCTTTTTTTATGTGAAGAATGTCTCCCAGGTAGCAGCAGGATTGTATCTCTCAGTGCTAGGACCAAGGTTCTACCCCAGGTGTTTCCAACACTGCCTTCCCAACCAGGCTCTCAATGACAAATTCCTTGCCAGGGCTGAGTTTCTCAGGTGTGTTGGTGCTGCAGGTTTTGCCTGAAGGTCCATCAGGGAGCAGGTGAGGAGATCGAGCCCTTCTTGTAGGAAACATATTAATATTTATTCTATTTGCTCATTTATTATATATTTTTACAGCTGGTTCTGGAGAATTATGTTATTGTTTCTTCCCAGACTCTTTGGGAGTGGGATCCAGTGTTGCATTCATGTAAAACTCTAGGCTTCAGAGCCGGAGCCCCACCTTCAAAGAGCTGTCTGCACAGGCTCCAAAATACACCACAGACATACCCTCAGAGTCAAATTCCCAGCTATGTGTATTGCTGACGATCAAATGTGCCCCTCCCAGTTTGTCTCTTTTCCATGCTCCCAGAGAGGCTTTCTGGGTGTATGAGAAATGATCTTCCTCCCTTCCCTGTATCAGACCCACCTGCCATGGCAAGAGATGGGTTTACAAGGCTTGTAAAATGAAGGGATTCACAGTGAATCCCAGAGAGTGCTCCTTTTAATATGTTTCATAGCTTGGACTTATGATCTCAGGGTCCAAGTTATCCCCCCAGATAAATGCAGGCTGTTGTGCAGGCTAGGGCAAAGAATGGATTTTTCAGTTTGCTGGCAACTTCAAAAAATAAAATAAAGTTTTGATTAGTTGAAAATGAAACTTTTCAAAATTTTTGATGAGTTAAAAAAATTCAGAAAAAAAATTCAAGTGGAAACATTTCATTTTCACCTGATTCAAAAATTTTCATTTTGATTTCAGGCACTTTTAACAATAGCAAGGGAGGAGTAGAATCACAAAATGGCGGCGGAAGTGCTGGTGGT